ACCACAACAGCTCCCCTGGTCAGGTGCACTGTGAACCAGGAGGGAAGCAAGGAAATGGGGGAGATGGTGGGTGGAGTGAGCTTGCCAACCGAGTGTCCCTTGCAGAAAGTCACCAGAAGACTGAGGAGGTCTAGGCTAATCTTGTCCCACTGGACGAATGGACTTCACAAGGCAAGCGGTTTAAACAAATGCTGTGTTTAGCATAAATCTGTCTGTGGTTTGTTTCTGCTTCGGCCTCCAGGCCTCCACGGCCCTCTTTCAGCTAAGAAACAAACCCTCTCCGAGATGCTGTGTAACCCTAGAAAGTCATGTGAACCTCTTGGCTCCCCCTAGGACAATATCTGTGAGCCCAGAATAGTCCCCCAAACCCAGCAGACCCTTCATAATCCCCAAATGTTCTCTCGAGTCTAGAGGAGGTCTGGGCTGTTCTCATTTGAGACAGACTCCGGTCTGAAGAAATGGGCTGACAAGGGCTCTCTTATACCTGTTTATAGACCTTTCCATCTTTGACGTCATAAGACCAGAATAGAATTTTTTTTTTTTTTGAGACAGGATTTCTCTGTAGCTTTTGAGCCTGTCCTGGAACTAGCTCTTGTAGACCGGACTAGCCTTGAACTCACAGAGATCTGGCTGTCTCTGCCTCCCGAGTGCTGGGCTTAAAGGCATGTGCCACTACCGCCTAGCTGGGAATTTCTGAAAAGCAGTTCAGGACTGGGGTAAGGGGGGGCAGTGGCTTAGTGGTAGAGCATACGTCTGTCATATACAAGGTCTCAAACTCTATTTCCAGTACCACATGCATGCACGCACACAGAGATAACAGACCCATGATCATCTTAGAAGACACAAACATCTGTTTGTCCTTCAACAATGGTCAGCCCAGTCCAAGAGCAGACACAGAGGTTCCCGCCTGCCTCTGCTAGAATGCAGGATCCAAGGAAAATGTTTTGGGCCAGAAGCATCGACAGGGTACTGCCAATCTAGATGAGTGGCCATCAAGCATAGGAGGGTCCTTGCTGGGTTGGCTTGCTCATCTTGTGGACACTCGGAAATACTGGGTCTGACCACCTGTGGAAGTTCAGGGTCTGCCATGGGAGACAGGCCAGTGTGCATGCTAACTGGAGCTGCAAGTCAGAGGTAGGACATAGCTCAGTTCCTAGAGTGTTTGCCTTGCATACAGGAAGCCCTGGGCTCCATTCCCAGTACTGCATAATAATCCAGGCATGATAGCACACGTCTGGAATCCCAGCACTTGGGAGGCGGAGGCAGGGGAATCAGGAGTTCAAGTCTCAGTTACACAGAGTCTACAGCCAGTCTGGCATAGAGAAATCAGCCAGGACCAAGCTGGGGCGGCTCATACTTCGTTGAGTCCAACAGTGATAGAGAGGGAAGAACGTTCCAGAAGTCTCAGGAACAGACTACGATGCTGGAAGCCTGAAGAGCAGGGGGGAGCGAGCAGAAAGGAACATTAAAGCCAAACACCATAGCCTGGGGTTGGGCCATGATGCTGTGGTGGGGTACAGGCAACCACTATCAGGACAAACAAGATTTATGACTGAGCCACGGATGCTGAAGCTAACTAACAAGGGCTGCTTCAAGATGCCCGGCTGCTAGGCACCCCAGGTATGGCACGGTACGAGGGACCTGGGATGGCTTGCTCCTAGAAAAGTCTGGAGCACTGGACAGGGGCAGAAGTAGGGAAGGCTGAAGGGAGAGAGGGGCGGTGCCTTGAGAGGGAAACTAGAGCAGATGGACACTCACGCCTAGGTTCCTCAGCCTGGGAAGGAGACTCCAGCTGGGTTGCTCCCAGAGCCCCAAGCTCCCGTTGGCTCCAACTCAGAGCCCCAGTTACTTCTGTCACCACCTTCTTGCGGTGCTCTGTGTGCAGAAGCCTGCTGCATTCTGAAGTCAGCAACTTTGTCTGGGCCCTGAACCATCTCTCCTCTCTTCACATCTGAGGAGCCTAAAAATATGAAGGGACCGCCAAGGCCCTCCATCTTCTGGACAAGTGCTCTAATATCAAACCACCACTGGATGAGTAGGAAAACCATGAAAGGCACAGTGCAGAGAAGGCCTGTGTATATAGTCAAGGTACACGAGTTCAAGTCCCGACACTACCAGTTTCTACATCTCTTCCCATATAAACACACTTGGGCTTTAGATGTTCACATCCTCTTCCTGGACTCCAAGGAACTCATACACAAAATGCATATTATTAACCCCTAGCCTTCAAGGGGTTCAGAGGAGGGCAGAAATGTGCCGTTGGAAAGCTCCATGTGAACAAGCCCTTCCCACCATAGCTGGCCCAGCCTGCAGATGTCCCCAGAGATGCTTTCCAGAAAGGACAAATTTAACAAGCAGCAGACCTACTCCATGCCCTCCTCCACAGGCTCAGGCACACAGCCTCCTAGCTGGGAAGGTCCAAGGAACCCACACTGGAATGAGGAGAAAGTGGGGAGGTCACACTCACCTCTACCGTATCCGCGCCCCCCTCCCCCGTAACCGAACACAGGGGTCTCAGCAAGGTGTGCCAATCCTTTCAGAAAGCTAAGGTCAAAGGTCTGCCCTTGTGTATGACACATGGAATGCTCCCCTGGACTGCTCTGCCCCTCTGGCCCCACCCACAATCTCTTCCTCAGTACCCGGGGGTGATGGTTCTTAAGCTGAGCTGTGCGAACAGCCTGGGCACTTGTGGCAGAGAAGGTCTCTAGGTCAGGAGTAAAGACCATGAATTTGCATTTCAACCAGTAACCCATGTGCTTGTGATAAAAGCATCCCAGCACACACAAGAAGTCTGGACACATACAAGTGTATACACACACATACAAGGGTACATACAAGTGTATAGATACACACATACACAGGTGTGCACACATATACACACACACCTTGATGGGCATTCAAACAGAGTCAAAGGTAACAATTAGAAGCACAGACTATGGCTGCTGCTAGGTTTGAGGTATAACCCAGCCCCATCACTGACTGAATGACCTTTGGTGAGTCCCTTCCTCCTGACAGAGCCAGCCTCAGCCTCACACGGCTGTCCGAAGAATGCAGTGACGCGTGTAATGTCCCCAGCACAGGACCTAGTACATAATAAACAATACCAGTGCTGTAGCCACTGCCAAACTCAGTCCCATTGCCTGGAGTGCCTAAGAGAAGGCACAGCAAGCCAGGATTAGGGGACCACAGTGAATGCTTGACCCACACAGATGCCCAAAGGGCACGAACACTCATTGGGTAGATGTAGCAGGGATACAGGTTTCCATTCTGAGCAGTAAGAATGTTTTAGCTGACTGGAAATGCCCAGCCATCCCTGGAGGATCTGAGCAAAGGGCCTAGCTGTATATCAGGTGCAGATGCAGCCCAGGGAAGGGACACTGGAGGGCCCGAGTATGGAGCATCCAGCCAAGGCTGGGACCAGGCTCTGCACTTGGCCCCTCTCTCCCGCATCGCATGCTAGATGGTTCTTCATGGCTCCTCAATATTTACAGGGGTCACTTCCACTTTCAAAGGTCTAACTTTCCAACACATTCCCAGCAGTGAAGGGAGGTGCTGGGACCATTTGCAATCAGGGACCTACAGTCGTCTGTCCTTAAGCAGTGTGTGCACATTTCTCAAAGGCCTGAAGCTCACTTGATCCTGAGAGGAGGGAACCCGAAGCACATGGGTCCCTTCAGGCACCAAACTCTGCTAGTTCCAAAAGACCGGATTCTCTGACCCTGTGGGCGGATGCCCACTGGATCATTTTTATGGAGCTTTAAGCTCAGGGAGGTTAGAAGACTGCCCAAGGCCACACAGTGAGCAGAGGAAGCTGAGACTTGAACCCACGTTCTCTAGATTCTAGAGCTGGGTGTTAGGTCTGGTTAATTCTGGATGCAGTCTTTAGGTCAAGAAAATAGAATGGAGTTAACACTACGGACAAATAGTGTTTCTTACGACTCTTGGTGCCCTACTGACAGTTAAGTCTATGGTCACTCCCCTCCGCGACTCTGCTGAAGGAGGTGGGATAAAGCCCAGCACAGGCATCACAGACAGCGCCAAAGGACCAAACCCAGAAAAGCTTGCAATCCTCACCAGGCTGGAACTTGGAAACATGGTGGCTTGGGTCGTTCTCCTCCATGCTGTGTGCAGCTCAAGGTGTTCTGTTAGTGGAGGGTGGGGTTGGAAGCAGGCCAAGGAAAGAACTCTGGGCCCACCTGCGTCCTTAGTAACAGCTCTAGCTAGCAATGAATACAAACACCCCAAACTTGGTGGGCCACATGGGAGGGACAGTGTGTGCGTGGTGGGGGTCTGAAGTTTGGGGGTCAGTGGAAGCTTCTGGAATTGGCAGACTGGAGAACCCTGTACCCCAACTCCTGTAGACTGCTAAGGTTGCCTTCTTGGTGCCGCCTGTGCCCTCCTTTCCAGAGGAAAGCGTCAGTCCTGCGCCCCGCTGTGGTCAGGGATAGAGGCAGAAAACAGCAAAGTTTAAAGGGTCAGACAAGACTCAAAGGTCCTGCCACAGAGCAGAAAAGAGAAGTAAATAAAGAGAAGCCGAGGCGCACTCCTCAGCCCTGTAGTCCTATAAAGGCATCAAGGCACCAAAGGTTTTCAAGCAGACCCCGCTAGGTTCCCTGCAGGTGTTAGGGCCCCTCAACTTGACCCGCGCTTTTCAGCCATTAATTACCTCTATGTGCTGACCTGGCCGCTGGGCATTGCCATCCCTAAGGCAGCGGAGTCGGACAGCCCAGGGCCAGGGTCGCGTCTCCGGGTCTCAGGGGTTTGGGCTGCCAGTTCGGGCGGCAGGAAAGTTTCCGTGGGGCGGGCAGGGTCTAGCGGAGCAAGCCGGGCTGGAGCGAGCTCCGGCCGGCTCCGCGCCTACCGCGGCGCCGCGGCTCTCTGCTCCCCGGCCACCGGACCCGTCCTTCCCTGCCAATCGCAGGCCCCGCAGCCGCAGCTCCGCCCGCCCACGGGCCCCAGCGGGGGCGGACGGGGAGGGGCGGGGGCGCACCTGTTTGGTCAATCGACCCCACATCTCCACCAGCCGCCGGGCGGGACTGGGCAAGGCTGCCAGCGCTCGCCCCCGCCCGGGCTTGGCCGGGGTCCAGGCGGGGCCACACGCCTCTCCTCTGGCCCTGTTCAGGGTCCAGCTCGCACAGCGCCTCAGCCCGCCCCCCCTCGGTCCTTCCCCGCCTCTTTAGCTGTAGCCCAGGGACAGAGAGATGACCAAGGCTTCTCTTTCATTACTTCTCAGTCACCGACTACCCACTCCTGCAAGCATCGTCCCCCCGCGCGATGACACACTAAACTTTCCTATACATCCAACACCAATCTCCAACTTCAGGCTTGGAGGCAGGTACCAGGGCCTGAGAACGGGACAGCGATTATGATGTCGCCGGGAAGGTACCACAGCACCTCCATTCACATAAACCCCGAAGCACCCCCAATACCGCGGGCTGGATGTCCCCCAGCGTCCTTGGCCTACACAGATGCCATCGCCCCATTTTCTGCGATAGAAACACTGAGACCAGAAGAGGGGGAAAGGCTTTTCCGATCTGATGACAGGTGAGTTGACAGAGTTTGCCTGGCTCCTGTCCCCGAAACCGGAGGATGCCTGGGTCCGCCCCGCCTGGCCCCGTGGGACCGCGAGTGGCCTGGAGGGGAGGAGGCGGAGGCCCGCGATGGCGCGCGCCCGGCCTTACCTCGGCTGCAGAGCGTGTCCCCGCAAAGCGCGCCCGCGGGAGGCCCCAGCAGCGGCAGGGAGGCCCAGGCGAGCGCTCGGTAGGCCGAGCGCCCAGCACCCATCCCTGCCGGAGTCGGCCCTTCCACCCTCCGCGGCACCTGTGGCGCCAGGGCTGCGCACGCCGCTTGGGCCTCGGGGGTCAGACCCCGGCGCTCCTCGTGCAGTCCCGGCTCGGACTCCCACGGCTGTGGCGCGGACCCCGGAGGGAGCAGGCCTCCCCGGGCAGGGCGCTATTTTTAGCGGGAGCTGCTCTCCTAGTCGGACAGACAGAACCAGTTAATTCGGCCGTTGGGGAAGGGCCTGTCCGGGGAGCTCCCCGGAAAGGCAGCCGCGGCTCTGCTGAAAGCTGATCCTGCGCATTCCTGCCTCTCGAGGCGGGAGGGCGGGAGGACGCCTTTAATTCCAGGGGGAAGCCTGCGTCCTCTGAAGCTGTGTTTTGGGACCAAGTACACGCCCCAAAAGGGCTCTGGAAACTGACCTGGAACCTGGCCCGACTCTCTTCACATGCCTTGGATGATTGGGCAGAGCATGTCTACCTGACTTGAGAGTCCCCACTTCTTGTTAGGAAGAGCCCCTTCGATGCTGAATCTGAACCCCAACAATGCACACAGTGTTGACTCTGAGGTTTCTTGCTGAATGAAGTGGGAAATGTCAGATACGGGGCAGCGATGTGCCGTGGATGGACCGGGCGGCTTGGGAAGCTGGAGGACACCTAAACCCGACACTTTTCAATGGTGTGGTCTTGGTAAGGCATCTCACTTCTGGATCTATCTCTTCTTGCAAAAGGGAGTTTTTAAAGTTCCCAAGACAATATTCGAGAAACTTTTGTAAACAAGACCATTGTGGACACGTGCATTCCACGAAGATGCAGACTCAGCCAGGGGTGTATACTCAGGAAGCAGTGGGAGGAGCCTAAAGAGGTACGTGTGCTGTTAGGGTGAGGGTCAATAAATAGGCCGGAGGATTAGAATAGAGGCTGCAAAAATAGACTCACACATGTATGGAAACTTAATATTTGGCAGAAGTGGCACTTGAGGTCGGTAAAGGAGAGACTTTTCTATAAATAGTGCTGGGGCAATTGGATGTCCGTATTAGAAAAAAAAAAGAAATGGAATCCCTACCTCACACCATTCATAAGTTTCAGGTATACTAGATAATTAAATATAAAAATAAACTGGGCATGGTGTCTCACATTAGTAAATCCAGCACTTGGGAGGGTGAGGCAGGAAGATTGTAGTGAGTTTAAGGCCAGCCTGCGTTACATAGTCCCAGGCCATGAGTCTGAGCTAACAGATTCCGAGTCTAAACAAGCAGACAAACCTGGCAGAGGGCAGGATTTCTTGAAGATACACAGAACATCAAGAGAAAGATGGGTGCATTTAATTAAAATGTAAAACCTGTGTTTTTCATAAGAAGATAAATGAAAATCAAGTGCAAAATATGCAAAGGCCTCCCACAGATGAGTTTTCAGAAGAAACTGGTAGAACGCTGGCTTGGCATTAGGGAAGCCATGGTTTGATCCCCAACACCACATAAACCAGGTGTGGTGGCAAAAATCTGTAATCTCAGCTAAATGGGAGGTGGAGGCAGAAGGATCAGAAGTTCAAGGGCATCCTCAGCTACAAAAAGAACTCAAAGTATGTATGATCAGACAATTGGCAGAAGAAAAAGAAGAAAATTGCGTAAATAAATTCAAAGAGAGCCTTACGGTACCTGGGGAAACACAAAGTCAAACCCAGTAGAGTGTCCCATGGCTCCTGTGAGGGGCAGGATTCGCCCCCAGGGTGGAGAGTGGCATAAGGAGTGTGCAAACACGAGTGCCAGGAGGAGAAGTGGGTCCAGTCACCCTGCAAAACAGCCTAGGAGCTCTGAGAAACACCCAGCTATCTGGTCATCCTTTGGGGACACACCTAGTGAATGTCTTGTTCTCTGCAGCAAGGCCGCCTACGGCCATTTGCAGAAGAACACAGGGACACATGGTGGAGGATCTGAGAAGTTCTCTACTGCGGGGACCAGGACTAGAGGGAGTCTGAATCTCCAAGGAAGGGAGACAGAGCAAACTCAGGAACAAATTGCATGATATCATTCATTTGGATTCTTCAAACACACACACACAAAAACAAACACCCATATATCACATGGCTGTGCACAGAGGTAAAAGCAGAGAGCATGCAGAGTCATGGGAAATGCACCTTTCGGCCTGGAGTTTACCCCAGGGAGGCAGAGGGTGCTGCGATGCAGTAGGAAGAGGCTCCCCATTTGGTAAGGTTTTTTTTTTGGCTGGAGTGGTGCATAAATCTCTCTCTCTCTCTCTCTCTCTCTCTCTCTCTCTCTCTCTCTCTCTCTGTGTGTGTGTGTGTGTGTGTGATTATTTTGGGGAATTGAACCCATGTATTTTGAATGTCAGACAAACACTGAGCTACACCCCTAGTCCCCAAACTTTTTTTTTAAGACACAAAGGAAGCCTGGTAGAAGTTCCTTTAAAAGCCAGTTCTGCTCCAAAAGATACCTTCCCCTTTAATGATGTCATCATGTCTAGGTGCTGATGCATGAACATAGCCTGGCCTGCGGTGAAGCACTCAGAAAACCTAAAAAACACTAATAGCTTCCTAGTCCATCTCCCTTGAAGCTCTGCTTAGCCCAGATGCAGCCTGCAAGGCCCTCGGCTCCCTCATGCTTTCGTGAGTTTGCACAGGCAGGGTGTTCTCCTAGCACACTGCTCTGTCTCTGCTTCAGTGCATGTGCGCTGCACTCCTGCTGTGCGAGACCCTGGGCGAGGGGACCACATCTGTTATCCACACATCTCTTCCTGTCCCTCATTGTCTGTGTTATCACAAGATGGGCAGTGCCACCTAGTTTGAGATTTTCCTCCTGAAGCAGGCTTTTTTTTTTTTTTTTGACAGGGTCTTTCTGCTTAGGTCATGCTGGCTTCAAAGTTGCAATCCTCTTGCCTCAGCCTCCTTAGTACAAAGATTATAGATGAATACAACCACATCTACTCATATCACACCTTTCTGGGCCCCCACTGCAGTCCCACCCTCTGTAAAGGAACTCAACCAAGAAGGTTTATGAATATATGAGCCAAGTGAATACAATTACTCAGAAATCTAAAGGAATCGTGCCACACTCTCAAAAGGGAGACAACCCCACCACCTCCTGATGGACTGCTTGTTCTTCAGGAATGTTTCTGAGAATAACATGAACTTTGAGGTCACAGAGAGCTGCGTTCACATCTAGGCTGAACCACTTGCCAGCTGTGTGCTCTAACATGGAGCCTCACGATCAGGGTCTGCACAACCAGGATGTGGCGAGGATTGTCACAGGGAGAGATTAGGATGAGATCACAGGAACCAAATGCATGGCCCCGTTCTTAGGTCAAGCAATTATGTGAAGATTGACTAAGAGGAAGACGTTTGCAGAGGAGGGTGGAAGGAACCCAGTTAGGCCACTGTGGAAGTAGAATGCTGGTTAAGCAACAACAAGGGTGTGAACCAGTCCTGAAGAGAAAGAAGCATTCATCTGGAGGCTGGCTTGGGAGCCAGGTGTCAAGAGCTCGCTCTAGCATCCTCACTCACTCCTCATTCCAGCATGCCCCTTCCCAGGGTCTGGGCTGCACAGCATGGCAGCCCTGTAGGCCCTCTTTGTCTTCCCATAGCCACCCTGTTCTCCTCCAGTCTGTTCTCACATATATCCCAGGATCTCAATCTGGACCTGTCTTTTCCTTGCCAGCTTCCATCTGTAGGGGCGACAGAGCCTGCAGCACCTTCCCCGGGGGACATGTCTGAAATGATTTACCAAATGCATCATCTGTACTTGGATATGCAAAATCTACATATGTCCTCTTGTCGGCAGCTTCCATCAGGCAGCATGCAAAATTGGGACTTGCTTATGGTCCAGACTTTAGAAGATGAATCAGGTGGGTTACATGTTCTCCATGCAAGCGAAAGCATGAAGTTGAGAGGGCTGGTTGGTCCCTGGAAAAGAACAGCTCTGTGCACATCAAGCGTTCTGATGTGAGATCTCCTAAGCTAATAAACCAGTTTCTTTGATTTAAATCCCATCACGCAAGTGACATAAACATTAGTCACTGATGGTCCTTTGTCTCATGCAAATGGGCCGTGGAAGGCAGGCATCCCTCCTGACTTATAGTTTGCCATCTTCTTTTTGGGACAAGGTTCCATGAAGCCCAGTCTAGCTCAGTCTTGCTGTGCAACTAAGGATAACCCCGAGTTTATGATCCTCCTAGCTGCACCTCCTTCCTAGGCTGAGATCGTAAGTGTGTACTACCTTGCTTATTTTTCTGTCTGTTTTGTGTGTTTGCATGACTTTGTGGGATATGCTGGGGATCAAACCCAAGGTTTCTGTATGTTAGTCCAGCATTCTCCCAACAGAGCCACACCCCCAGCCCGTACCATTTTTCTTAATGGCTGTCCAGAAAACCATCAGTCCTTTTGGCAACACGAAAGGATGCTCTTGTGCCTTTATCTGCTCTGTGTAGTTGTGTGGACACTTCTGTTCCCTTTTGTCTCATCACATTCTCCCAGTTTCTCCCCTAGGTTTTCTGGGCTGTTTCATCTTACTCTCTGGCCAGTTGGAAGATAATACTCTCAGTATCTGATTGCCCTTGATGTTCTGAGCAGACTTCAAGTGTCGGAGCCCGGGACCTTACCCTGCTGTCCTTCCTTCACCAGTGACTCCCACGTGTGTATCCCCGCCCAGCGGGCACTTGTGCTCCTTTGCCCAAGCTTCTCAGAGCATTAGGCTCCTTCCCTGCCTCTGAAACTTCCTCCCTGTGGATCCTGCCCATTGGTATCTCTCGAGAGGCTGGCAGAACACAGATCCAATTACATCCCCCCACCTCTGCCGAAAAGCTTGCAGGGGCTCTGTGTTGTGTTTGTGTGGCTGATAAAAAAAACTCCCAGGGAGTTCACTGGTTCTGAACAAAAGCATACGCTGCCGAGGGTCTGGCCTGGGAGCTGGAGCATCAGAAGCCTCCCAGCCTCGTTCTGCACCACTTTTCCTTGCCTTCTTTGCTGTCAGTCACTCCAGCTAATCTCAGAGTTCTCAAATAAACAATACTCCTTCCTCAGACCTCACCTCTCTGTCCTTTCCCTGCCTGGCCTGGCTAGCTTCTTCCAGGAATCAGTTTATGTCACTTCCCGAGAGGAGCCTCCCTTGCGTTCACTAGACACTTGACCTAGGGGTTTTCCTTCGTGCTGCCGATGGCAGGTGGTAACTGTACCTTCACTGTGTGATCACCAGGAGTTGGGGGCCCCTGAGTACAGGGATCACCCCTAGTGTTCATCATTGTATCACCTCTCGTCCTCAGCAAGGGCCCTAGCACATAGTATGTGCTCAGTAAATGTTTGCTGGGGGATGAATCCAGGTCTACTTGCAGACCCCCACGGATAGGCTCTCATCATAGGACAAACACTGTTAGTTACCAGCTATTCCTGTAAAGAAGGCATGGTAGCTGGGTATGCTAGTACATACTAGCAGTCCCAGCGCTTCGGAAGTCGAGGCAGGAAAATCAGGAGATCAAGGTCATCACGAATTATTACATAGGATAGCCTGGGATACATGAGACCTTGTCTCAACAATAGACAAACAACCAAACACCCAGGGACTGAGGTATCCTCAGATGCACACTCAGGCTTGGGCTCATAGGACTCCCAGAGCAAGAATGACAGGCATGGTGGGAAGAGAAGAGGAGGGGAGGGGTCTGGGGATTACACACTGGTGGGAGGGGTCTGGGAATTACACACTGGGAATGGAGGAAGGATTGAGGGTGGGCCCACATGGAGAGCTGCAGCCTGTGGGGGTCTAGCCAGGCTCCAGGGCTCTGGTTCAGGCCTCTGCAGCTTCTCCCCTGTTGTCTATGGACTCTGAGGCCTCTCTGGGCAGGCTCTGAGCGGAGGGCTGGGGACAAACGTGAACAGTCCAGGGAGCTGCTCCCAGGTGCTAGGGAACATGGCAAGCCATGGTGTCAGCAGAGACCCTAGGAAACTCCCCATGGCCCATTAGTGAGCCCCTCCTATTAGGTACTGAGCATAAACTAATGACTATTAAGACTGAGGAGGTGGCTGTGGGGCCTAGTGTCAGCCTGAGTAGGAGAGTGGCTTCCAAGAAGGTGACAATGAGGGGAGTGGACCGGCGATGCAAACACATTCCAGCCTGGTGTTCTCAGGAACAACAGCTAGCACCACTGGGCAGGGACATGTGGGAAAGCTGAGGTTCCCTGAGCCCAAATGCCATGCCCAGAAGCTTGGACTTTGGGGGCGGGTTGGCTGGGATGATCCTGGGAGGGGAGGTGTGTATCTGGAGGAGGAAGGCAGATTTAAAGGGAAAGATGAGAGACTGTCCTGGGGATAGTTCAGGAAGGAAACAGGGAGTGAGGATGCCCAGCCCAGGAGAATTCAGCCAGAAATGCGTGGCTACTGAAGGGAAGGGTTCACAAGCGAGCCAGTGTGTTCCGAGCCCTCCTCTGAGGCTAGGGAAAGGATCGATGGGAAGTGCTTTCTGTGCAAGCCTGAGGTCTGAGTGTGAGTCTGGACCTAACAGCCAGGTACAGCTGGAACGTCAGTTCTGCTCCTAGGGGCTAGAGACACACGGATCTCTGGAGCTCAACACACTGGCCAGTCAGTATTGCCCCTGGGTGAGCTCCAGCTTCAGTGACTGACCCTGTCTCAGAAATAAAGTGAGGCTGGAGAGACAGCTCAGTTGTTAAGAGCACCAACTCTCTTGCAGAGGGCCTGGGGTTCAGTTCCCAGCACCCACATAATGGTGGTTCACAACTATCTGGAACTCCAGTCCCAGGAGATTTGATGCTCTCTTCTGGCCTCCTGGGGTACCAGAAACATACTTGCAAACAAAACATTCATACACATAAAATAAATGGAAATTTAAGTAGAAATGAACAAAATAAAAAAGGAAGTGAAGGCAATGGCAGAGGGGAACAGGCTCAGGAAGAGGGGCAGTAACCCGAGACAGAAGCAGGAACTGGAATGATGTCAGAAAGATGTGGCCAGGAAAAGCGGGGGCCATGGCCATAACTTTTCTTTTACTCTCAGAAGAAAGTAAGGTTGGCTCCTTAGTGTTTGGTTGAAAGCATCACCCCCGCCCCGGCATCCATGGGTGCTGGCATCTATTAAACCTGGGCTTTTCCTAATTTGGTCAGATTTGGTTTAATTTGGATCATTGCATTGGTGGAGAGGCTTACCGGGCCAGAAAAAAACTTAACACTTAGGAGAAGGGCAGGTAATAAAACAGCAACATAAGAAAATAATTATTGCTGGCTGGTGGTGGCACCTGCCATTAATCCCAGCACTTGGGAGGCAAAGGCAGACAAATCTCTTTCAATTCAAGGCCATCCTACTCTACAGATCTAGTTCCAGAACAGCCAGAGGTACACAGAGAACCCTGTCTCGAAGGAAATAAATACATAAACTGATAAGAAAATAATAATATAAAATGTGCGTGATCTTGTGCTGGCCAGTTATGTCAACTCGACACGGGCTGAAGTCATCCGAGAGGAAGGAACCTCAATTAAGAAAATACCTCTAGGGTCTGGAGAGATGGCTCAGGAGTTAAAAGCACTGGCTGCTCTTCCAGAAGACCAGGGTTCAGTTCCTAGCATCTACATGGCAGCTCACAACTGTCTGTAACTCCAGTTCCAGAAAATCTGACACCATTATACCAACGTACATAAAATTAAGTTAAATAAATTATATTTTTAAAAAAGGCAAGAGAGAAAGAAAATAAAAAAAATAAAATGCCTTTATAGGATGAACTGTAGGCAAGCCTGGGGTGTTTTCCTGATTAGTGGTTGGTGGGAGGGCCCAGCCCATGGTGGGTGTGGCCTTCCCTAGACTGGTGGCCTTGTGTTCTGTAAGAAAGCAGGCTGAGCAAGCCTTGGGGGGTCAGTAAGCAGCACCCCTCTGCCTCAGCTAATGTCTCCAGGTTCCTGCTCTGAGTTCCTGTCCTGACTTCCTCCAATGAGGAACAGCAATGTGGAAGTGTGAGCCACACAAACCCTTTCCTCCCAAGTTGCTTTGGCCATGGTGTTTCATCATAGCAGTAGTGACCCTGGCTAGGACATCACTGCTTCCTCCTTGTTTAATTGTCTAGCAAGCATCAGAAGCACTCTTGGTGTTGATAGTCTCCCAGCCTGTGGCCTGAGCTTCGCCTGGAGCCTAGGGCACTACACCTGCCTGTTTGAATTAGATAAAAGGTCCTGAGCCTTTGTTGGTTGCTTGCTTCTCAGAGGCAATGCGTGTAAAGATCTGAAGAGTGGAGAATACGGCCACTTCAAGTCTAGCTGCATAGCCAGCTTTCTTCCCCTCTTGACAAAGGGCCCCTTTGGAATCAGACTTGGCTTCTAGCCTCTGCTGCTGGAAGCATCCACTGCTCACATTTCATTTCAAGCCCGCCCAATCCCAGACCAGAAAGGTGATTTTTTTAAGGCCCATTAACATAATTACCTGCCTGCAACACCGAAGAGAAGCAATTAGATGAGCCTGCAAGTTTTGCAGACTTTTGGAGTAAGTCACCTGAAGTTCAGCCGCCGTCAGGATTCATGGCTGCTTTCTGGAATCGTGGGGAATTATTTAGTAATAGCAGAGCTACCTTGGTCTAATTTAGTTTTAATGCCTGGAAGTATCCTCCCAGAATCCTCGGCTTCGGGGAATTCCGACTTCCAGTTTGGTTACGCTTTCTGAAGCAAAGATTCTATTCAAGGCTCCTGAAGTTCCTTCTTTGTCACCCAGAGTCATCTCGGAGCAGAATGGATCCTACCTCCATGTGTCAAGAAAAAAATGCAAAACGCTGCAGGGCCGCGGGAAGTCAGGGTGTACAGGCAGCTAAGTGGGCACCCTAGATGGAGTTGGAGCTGTTAGGTAATCTCTGGGAGAGCCCTAATTTCCTCCATTCATTTATTACCTCGTTCTTTCAGCAAGCCCAGACACTGCTGCTATTTGGGTAAAACTAATGATAATCATGGAGTTGAGCCAATTTTAGCTATTTTAACACTTTCCAACATATTACATCCTGTGGAAAAGGTGGGGGCTGTCACTGTACTGTGTGTAGATGGGGTCACTGAGGCTGGGAGGTTAAGACATTTACTGAGCTATTCTGCTGGGAGCCAGGCATGGTGGGACAGGCAGAGGAAGACCGATCCCCGAGTTCGAGACCACCCAGGTCTGCATTGTGTTTTAGATCTGTCAGGGCTACCTAGAGACCTAAAACGTTAAGAATCTTGAGGAAGTGTTCAGTCCCTTTTTACAGTTACTTGGAGGTGGAGGTGAGCTTACTACCTTCTATGGGGGAAAGAACAGGATGTCTCAGAGGGCATGGGTCTGGCCAAAGTGAATGTGGTGAGGGGATGCAAGAGTCAAGAACTGAACTGAGATTCTCACTCCAAACCCAGTGCTGCCTTGGCCATAGTTAGGAACTTAGGAAGCACGTGGACAGAGCAGGTGGAGGCTGGATACATTGCTCTCCACGGCTCTCCACAAGGTAGGCTCGGCTGCCCAACCGCCCAGCTCTGTTCTTTGCTTCCAGCTTCTGAGCATGCCTCTTCCCCACCCCCACTCTTCATTTAGAAGCCAGCGGCTCCTCTTGTCATCCCGTGTTTGTTAACTTTGAGATGCTCATTGGTCCATGTCTGCGCTTCTGGCAGAGGGTGGCCTGGTTCCACAGGAAGGGTCAGGAAGTGAGCTGGCTGTCACCATTCTCCCTGAAGACCAAGGCCACACCCAGGCCTCTCTAGGCTTTGCCTTCCCATTTCTACAAGAACAGAGGGGTAAGGCTCTTTGTATGGATTTTTGGCCTGGAACTCAGCAGTCCTCTTGACCTCCCAGAACTGGGGTTTCCATTTCTAGGTTTGAAAACCAGCTCTTTAAACCAACGAGCTATAGAACTCTTCTTTCATCTCATTTTGTGGGGAGGAGGTGGAAGGAAGTTGTCTTTTTGCGACAGTCTGTCTCAGTTACTGTTCTATCGCTACGAAGAAACACCATGACCAAGGCAACTCTTATCAAAGAGAGCATTTAACTGGGGGCTTGCTTGCAGTATCAGAGGGTTAGTCCATGATCATCATGGTGGGAGCATGGAACTGGAGCAGTAGCTGAGAGCCACAGCCTGATCTGCAGGCATAAAGAGGAAGAGGTAGACAGAGAGACTGGGCCTGGCATGGGCTTTTGAGACCCCCAAAGCTCACTCCCAATGCCATATTTCCTCCAACAAAGCCACACCTCCTCCAAGGCCACACCCTTTAATCCTTCCAATTC